AACATCTTTTTTATTTTCCTAATATTTTAAGGTTTAAATTGTTATTTTAATTGGAGTCTTATAGAAGCCTTTATTTATTTGGGTTGTGGGGTTTTTTTTACCCCATACAATACTGTTTTGCTTTGTTTTATTGTAAGACTGTCCTGAAACTTTTGGTAATGAGGACGGTATAGAAAAGCATGCATGCATGGATGGATGAACATGAGCTAAAAATTCAGAAAAGCTTAAACAAACAAACAAACAAACAAACAGGAGAACATGAGCTAAAAATTCCCCCAAATCCTTCAGTGGTTGGTCTTACAGTAACTGCAGCTTCTGCTGTTGGAGTTCTCCATTCTCTGATCCTAGGGCAGGACTGAACCCTTGCACCCTTTCCAAATCCTGTGAAGGTGGGGCTACACCTGCTGGACTATTTTGTGGGAAAGACATCCTGTAGCCTTCCAGCATGTGGGTGTCTCATCCGTTATTCACTGCTCAGACATTTCCCCTGTCCTTTTATAGTTTCGAAAGAAAGCCACGTTTCCTGGCATGCTCGGCATCCGCCTGGTCACCACTCTCTTTGAAAAGGGTTCCGTGGTCCGTTCGGGTGCTTGGTAGTCATCCATGTGCTCTTCTTCCCAGAGATGTTGTAGAGAAGAGTCTTTGTTATAATAATTTATTTATTTTAAAACTTTTCAGTGCTCTCATTCCTTCCTGGAATCTCATGACAGTTTACAAAATTGAAACAAGAACACAGTTAAAGTGTTTAAAAACTTCACAGTGCCAATACTTGAAAAGAGATAAAATAGTCAGCACCAGCCGCACCTCTCTGGGGAGCAAGTTCCATAATTGGGGTGCGACAGCAGAAAAGGCCCTTAACACAGAAACACAGAATCAGAGCAAGTCAGAAGGGGCCTCCTAGGCCATCTAGTCTGACCCCTGGCTCCAGCCGGCTTCACTCATGACATGCCCACCATGTGCATGTCCAGTCTGTTCTTGAACTCCCTCACCAATGGGGCCTCAGCCATCTCCTGTGGAAGCCCATTCCACACCCTCAGGGTCCTGTCCTCCAGCAGGTACTTTCTGATATCCACCTTGAACCTTGGTTCCCTGAGCTTTGCTCCGTTGGAGTGCGTCCTGCCCTCCTCTGCAGGGGAGAATAGCTCAGAGCCCTCCTCATGGCATCCCCTTACGTACCTACAGGTCGCTAAAAGGTCCCTTCGAAGCCTCCTCTTTTCCAGGCTGGAAAGACCCAGTTCCCTCAGTCTTTCCTCATACGGCATCCCCACAATCCGGCTACCATTCTTGTGACCCTGTGTTGGACCGATTCTAACCTGGCTGTCTCTCCTTTCATGTGGAGCCCAGAACTGGACACAGTTGTGGGCACACCAGAGTTGTGTGGAAGGGTATCAACACCTCCCTAGATCTGGAAGCCATGCTATGGCTATGCAGCCAAGGGTGGCATTGGCCTCCTTAACCGCCAAGTCACACGGCTGGCTCATGTTCAGCCTGCAGTCAACCAGCACCCCGAGGTCCCTTTCACAAGTGCTGCTCTCCAGCCACTTGTCCCCCATCCTGTACTTATGACAGCTATTCCCATGCCCCAAGTGCAAGACCTTGCACTTACCCACCTTGAACGCCATCCTGTTGTCTCCTGCCCACTTCCACAGCCTGTCCAGACCCTTCCCCGTAGCAGCCCTGCTCACCTCTTTGAAGGAGACTCAGAGGGGAACCTCTGAAGATGGTCTGAAGGTCCAGGCAGGCTCATATGGAAGGAGATGTTCCTTTAGATATCCAGGCCCTAAACTGTTTAGGGCTCCATATATCATCAGCAGCACCTTAAATTGGGCCTGGACTTCAATTGGTGACCAGTGTAACTTGTATAGGACCAGTGTAATATGTTCTCATCTACTGGTCCCAGTCAAGCCGGCAGCTCTGTTTTGAACCAGTTTAAGCATCCAGACTGTCTTCAAGGGCAGCCCCACGTAAAGCGCATTACAGTGGTCCAAACGGGAGGTTACTGGTGTTACTGTTGCTAGGACCAGTCTATCCAGGCAAAGACGCAGCTGATGGATCGGCCTCAGCTGGAGGAAGGCACTCCTGGCCACAGACACACCTGGAATTCCAGGGATAATGCACCTGGGAATAAAGGTAGACCATGAAGATACAAATTCTGAGAGTCCTTGAACTCCTGGAATCCTCTTGAGCCCATCCTTTGATATCTCTGACAACTGACCGTGGTGGGATCATAGAATTGTAGTGCTGGAAGGGGCCGGGAGGGCCACTGCGCTAAGCCCTGCTCAGCCCAGGACTCCAGGGCTCATGGCGACCTCCTCTGTGACCCCCTTAGGCGTGTCCACATCTCCCAGGGCACCATGGACTGCTTGAAGGGAGAGTTTGAAGTGGAGCCAGGCGACGGCGGCTCACGGTGCGAATACCTGAAGGAGAAGGGGATCGTCACCTACCTCGTTCTCGTACCCAAGCAGCCCCTCAAGAACGGGATCAACGGTGTGGTGAGTGTTTCTCTCGTTTCGCCAGTCCTTGAGCTTGTTCCAAACGGCTCCTTTGCAAACGACTGGAGGCTTGGAGGTGCCCGGCTCCTCCAAACCTGTGGGGTGGGCAGAAGGACAGAGCCTCCTCCCATGGCCACGATCGAAGTGGATTTGGCTACTAACGGCGAAGGAGAAGATATATTTGCAGTGTTCCTAGAAGTGTTGGCTTGGGGGCCCAGCCTTTCCACTGGTATCAGCAAAACAAGTTTTTCCCGAAGCTTAATTCCCATGTGTGTTTTGTGGGAGCAGGAGGCCACTGTGGGGGGCAGGGGCAGGGGGGTCACCCTTCGCCCCCAACTTGCCCCTGGCAATCCCCCCCCCCCGGCCATCTTTCTGCCTGGCTGCTGAACTTAGAAAATGCCAACCTGGCATTAGTGGACTGCCCCCTCCCCAAAGGGGTTGGAGGGGGCAAATGCATGGGACCGCCGGGGTGGGGGATAAACCGCCCCTTCTCCCCCTTTTGAAAACAGCTCCCTGCACGACAGTTAAACATTCCACCGGCAGCAGGGAAAACGTTTCTGGGGAATCAGTCCAGGGCCCTGGGAAACGGCCCCGATGGGGCCCGTATGTTTTTCCACCCGCAGCTGGGTGTGGGTGTGTGTCACAGCTGTTGAGACCTGCGCCTGCCGCTTTTCGAAGGAGGACAGTATGGCGCCATTGCGTGATGAGATCCTCAGCAGCCGCTGTTTGTACGTTCCGAGCAAGAAATCTCAGCAGAGGATCTTGCTGTTAAATCTGAGAACGGTGCAGTGGAGCCTCTCAAACTGATTTGGCGCGATTATTCTGCAGAGGCGCTGCGGTTGTGCAACGGGCTTGGAAGGCTTCGTTCAGGCTGGCTCGCCATTCGACGTGGCTGCTTTGCACAGGAATCTGCAGATTACTTGTGTGCATATGGAGGTGGGAGGGCATCTTCATTAGGCCTTAGATGAGAAAAGGGACCCTCATTCAGGAAAAACGGAGTGGGATACTTTTCAGAGCCAGGATGATTGGTGTTCAGCCTTGAAAGGATTTATCTTGTGCCAAAAATAGAATATGTGTCAGGACGATGTTGATGCTTCTGTTTAGCATTCTGGGAGGAGGGAGAGTGAAGGATATCTCCCTCTTGCTGCAAGCTCTCTCTCTCTCGGTTTATGTTTATACACGGCATTCCATTTCCATTTACTTGGACAGCCAGGATCAATGGAGTCAATTAATCATCCAGCTTCTCCATTTAGCTGGGAATTCAAATAGCTTGTCCCTGTGGGCCAATCACTCTCAGGACTAAAGAGAATCCTTCTTTCCTCATTTCAGTTTGTCACAGTTTAAATGTCAGACTCTGGCTTATGCTGGGAGCTCATTCTCAGCATGAGCCGTGTCTGAGAAGGGTGTGCTGTGGCACATGGGTGTTTATTGCCTAAGCACCGAGGCTCTCCTCAGATTCCATGGAACAAGCACAAAGCACTTGATCAGCTGTGATCTTTTGCAATGTGCAATTAGATTTAAAAAAACAACAACAAACTTTCCATTTTAAAACTGCTTTTCAGCCTCTGCTGTTTTGCTATCAAAAATATAGCTGCTTAAGAACTGTTGCTGAGCTATTAAAGATTCATTTCCTGTCAGTTCTTCCACTTTCTTTCCTCACATCCAAAAACTATGTCGAGGAACAGATGGCTGAACAGTGCTTTTGCCTGCTGGTGTTAGGAGCCGTCCATTGGGAAGTGCCAATGGTATATTCTGAGGCCAGGGGGCTAGAGAGACATTTCTGTTTTGTTTTACTGGAGGTAAACTGGGAGCATTCTCCCTGCTTGATTAATTGGGAATTTCGAATTGGTAGTAGAAGCAGAAGAGTAGGGAACTAGGGCGGTCTGGAGAAATCCTGGTTCCGCCATGAAGGTGGCCCATCTCCCTTTAAGTGGAACCAAAATGGATCCCAGCATTTCACCAAAAACGTGGCTTGTGGTATGCTTGTACTTGAAACAAGCAGCGGGAGTGAGCTTGACTGGTTCAGACATCATGGAAACTGTAGATTGTTGAACTGTGGCTTCTTACTGAAACACGGATTATTGTGTTGTCCGAACCCAGCTACACTAACAAGCCATGGCTTACTTATAAATAATCCATGAAGAGAACCCATGACTTGTTGTTGGGTTTTGACCTGTGGGTTGCTCACTGTGGCTTGTTATCTCAGCTGGGTTCGGACAACAGATGTCTCAATGGGAGCCCATGGATCAATGGCAACTCGTGGTTTAATGACAACCCACACTCAACCCACACTCGACCTCTGAGTGTAGATTAATGGGTTGCTTTAACCCAGTCGTAGTCTTCCAAGAGTGCAGAATCAGAAGTCTGCTTTCCAAAGTTCAGCTTCCAGCCCAGCCCGGGAGCTTGGACTGCCTCCTTTGACTTCACTTCTTTGATCCTTTTCCGCTTCTTTCCATGCTGCAGAAGTTGTCCGTTTCATCATCGCATGGGAACTCTCCTCAGCTGATCAACACCAAAGAATGCAATGGAAGCATTAACACCACCTGCACGACCCCAGATGAGACAGAAGACCTGGACAGCAGGGTAGGGGGACGGGGCGGGCGGTTCCCGAATACCACGTAGTACAATTCTAGTCCAGCAGCACCCAAATCCTATCCCAAGAGAAAATGCGTTACATGGGCATTATAGCAACCGAGTATACCTGTGCGTCTTGTTTGTTTACTGGTTGATTCAGTGAATACATAAATAACCCTTGTCAGGTTGGCTCCTGGGATGACATCCATTTTAAATAAAACAAAAGGTACACTCTTAAAGATGGAGAGAAGCAGTGGGCTGAATTCAGGCAATAAGAAGCAACAGCAGAATTGAGCATTCTAAAACTGCTGAATATGTTGGACTATCTGGGCAAATAAACAAGCCTTCTCCTTGTGCAGAAAAGGCATTACACTGGCTGAGCTAGAAATGTAGTCAAATATCCAAACATAAGATGAGGTAGGGACAGATTCTATTTTCCTGGGTTCCAAGTTCACCGCAGACAGGGGACTGCACCCAAGAAATTAAAAGACGCTTGCTTCCGGGGAGGAAAGCTATGGCAAATCTAGACAGCATACTAAAAAGCAGAGACATCACCCTGCCGACAAAAGTGCATATAGTCAAGGCTCTGGTTTTCCCAGTTGCAATGTATGGCTGTGAAAGCTGGACCATAATGAAGGCTGAGCGCTGAAGAATTGAGGCCTTTGGATTGTGGTGCTGGAGGAGACTCCTGCGAGTCCCTTGGACCGCAAGGCGATCAAACCGGTCAGTCCTAGAGGAGATCAACCCTGACTGCTCCTTAGAAGGCCAGATCCTGAAGATGCAACTCAAATACTTTGGCCACCTAATGAGAAGGAAGGACTCCCTGGAGAAGAGCCTAATGCTGGGAACAATAGATGGCAAAAGAAGAAGGGGGCGGCAGAGAATGAGGTGGCTGGATGGAGTCACTGAGACGTGAGCTTGAGTGGACTCCGGGGGATGGTGGAAGACAGGAAGGCCTGGAGGAGTGTTGTCCATGGGGTCACGACGGGTCGGACACGACTTCGCGACTAACAACAACAAGACGGTGCTGTGAGCAAGAAGACCACCTGTTTGCCCACCTGACCTCAGGTGGCAGGAAGAGTTGGAGGAGAGGCTGTGATAACAGCTGTAAAGTTTGGGCAGCCCATTGCTCCGTATCTTTCATTAGGTTCCTGCTAGCCAAAGAAGAGCCACGTTGGGCTCCCAAGCCTCTGGGCCCAGTCATCCTTCTCCAGGTGGATGCTGAGCTTTAAGCGGACAGTCGCTTGCTTTGTTTGAACAGAAAGAGCTGATTTGGAAAGTGGGGAACACGTGTCCACTGCTTTTACCCTGGAGACCCTTGGATCTCTGACGGCCGACCTGTCCATGTAGCTTAGGGTTGCCTGCGCAAACTGGCCGTCTTCAAGGTTCCAGACGTGACTCCTTCCCAGCCCAACCTGGCGACTTGGGTCTGGGACCTTCGCATGCCGAGCAGCGGCTCTGACCTCTGGCCGCCTCCAAAGGCGTGTGCTGGTGCTGTGTGGATGCAGCGTTAAGTGGAGTGATTTGAGAGAGTTTTAGCCCCGGTTTTTCAAACACCCCTTGATGCAACCTTGTGTTCAGCTATAGCCAGGGTGGGATAGAGCCTGTACCCAGCATTTACTTTTCTAATCTGTTACCATGACATCCAATAGCCAAAGGTATCTGGCCAGTTTTCAAAGCATTAAAACCTTAAGATACAGTATAAAGCATAATATAAACCCACTTACATGCAAAAGCACATTAAAACAACCAGCAGTAAAAACCCAGGGGCCACTGAAATCCCGATCATGTGCTGTCCGGTGCCTGGGAGTCAAGGAAAGCCTCAACCTGGCGCTGAATGGATGGCGATGTTGGCAGACTTCCCTGACTAGCGTGTTCTTCAGTCAGAGAGCCACCACCAAAAAGGCCCGTTCTCTTTTTGGACACGTCAAAACTGGAGGCCCCCAACTGATAACGATGGGAGTGTTCCCGTGGCTTTGTTTTGCCCGCTGGCATCCTTTGATGGCTTCATCAGTGCCAGGCGTAGACACAGCATCTGGGGAGAGCACTTCAGAATCCACTGCCCAAAAGCTCCCTTCCCCCAACCCGTTCCTGGGACTCCGCATTTCTGCTTTTACTTCTTCCTCTGCTCTGCTGAGCTGCTGGGCTGGTTGGTTGAAAGGTCGTCGGTTCGAATCCACACACGGGGTGAGCTCCCGTTGCTCCGTCCCAGCTCCTGCCCACCTTGCAGTTCGAAAGCATGCAAATGCAAGTGGATAAAAAGGTACCACTTTGGTGGGCAGGTAAACAGCTCTCCATGCACCTTGGTGTTAGTCATGCCGGCCACGTGGCCACGGAGACTGTCTGTGGACAAACGCTGTCCCCCTCGGCTAGGAAACGGAGATGAGCACCGCCCCCTGGAGTCAGGCATGACTGGACTTCACGTCAAGGGGAAACCTTTACCTTTACCTTTACCCTGCTTCTGCGCAGGTGGTGAACCCCTCCTTTCCCAACCCTCGGAGGCGCCTGCGCTTGCGTGACCTGGCGGAGAGGGTGGTCGATGCCTCCCAGAATGAGCAGGAGCTCAACAAGTTGCTCAACGAGGCCTTGCTGGAGAGGGAGTCCATGCAGGCGTAAGTTTCTCCTTCTCACACGCGATCTTGAAGGTGCGGCTCCTCCAGTGCCTCTCCAGCAGGGTTCCCCAGCCCTCCAGTCCATTCTGGCTCCCCCTCCTCTCTCCAGCTGGCATGTTAAACTTCGTGCTGTCCTCCTGCCCCCACACCCCAATTCTAGTTCCAGAAACTCACCTGTACCTCCGCTGCCGGTGGATCCGACTCCTTTCCTTTCCTTTCCTTTCCTTTCCTTTCCTTTCCTTTCCTTTCCTTTCCTTTCCTTTCCTTTCCTTTCCTTTCCTTTCTCCTGTAGTTCTTCTTCTGCACAGGAGAGAGATCCCCCTCTAGTCCATGAAGGAGGAGACCTGCCTTTTCATGTTTAACGCATTGTTACGATGCCTTCGGGGCCCTTTCATGTCTGCCCACCTGGAATTTGAGTTGGCTTACCTGGGTTCCCAGGGGGTGACCAGAGCCAGCCCTGTTAACTTCGCCCAGGTGAACAAAGAAGGGTCATTCCAACTTCCTTCGTTGCACGTGCCAGAGACTAATCTTTTCCAACCTGGTACCCTGCAGGTGCTGGACTGCAACTCCCAGAATCCCCACCCAGCATGGGAGTTGCACTCCGGCACATTGGGCCAACACTAAGCTGGGAAAGGCTGTCCTAGACCAAGCAGCAAAAAAGCTGAGCAGAACACCTGGTTCTCTCCACCCCTCCTGTGCTTGCACAGAATTGAAGGAAAAACAGGCACCAGCGTAGGCTGGCCTCCAATTCAGCCACAGGTTTGCAAGAGATAAGGGAAGGAACATGCCGCTGAAAGAACAGAAGACATTGGCTTTAAGCAAACGGGTGTCTTCGGTATATCGGAAACAAGGAATTTTCAGGGAGAGAACAGAATTGACCGGAGGAAAGTCCCATGCTCTATCCTCATAGGCTCCCCCACAAAGCCCCACCTTTGGACAGGTAGTCCAGGTGGTGGAAAGGGGTTCTTTCTGTCCAAGGCTTTGGGGAGTACCTGCAATCAGAACACAGCAGCTTTCCTCATCCCACTGGCCTCAACGTGTTCTCAACTCCAGTTCCCATCAGCTGTCGCAAGCATGACCAGTGGTCGGGAATGTTTTGATTTGTGGTCTGAAGGAGCTGCAGGACTCCAGGCTGGAATTGGCAATGCCAGGCTGTGCGGGGCAAAATTCAGGTCTAGAGTAAGGCAGCTTCACCTTGCCCAGGTGGGAACACAGGACATGCTGTGCTGGACCAGGGCGGAGGCCTTGGGGTTCCCAGGCACGCAAGCCGTCGCCCTGTTGAAGCTAAGCAAGTCCGGGGCTGGCCAGAGCTTGGAGGGGAGACTACCAGGGATGGCATGTGGCCCCGTGGAGTTCCACCATGAGGAGGAGGAGGGAGATAAATATAAATAAACCAGGACCCCTGCAGAGCGCTTCAAAGAGATGCGGATCCTGCATGGCCATGCCTCTGCCCGAGTTCTCCAGCTGCCAGTGCCCAGAGGCTCACGGGGACAGACCTGCAGGAAGTCCGCATGCCAACGTCCCGGGGAGCTAAAGCCGCGGAGGTGAGGGTCCCATGTCCCATGTTTCTGGCAGGCTGAAGGGCAAATCCACATACCGGCTGACCATGCGTTTCATCGACCCCGAGATGGAGACGCGCTACTCCGTGGAGAAGGAGAAGCAGAGCGGAGCCGCCTTCAGCTGCTCCTGCGTCATCCTCTTCTTCACGGCTCTGGTGGAGATCTTCATTGATCCGTGGTGAGTGCAGCCGGATGGGGGCACCGGCCTCCCTTGCTGACCGTCGCTGGAAATGATGCATGGAATCCCGTGCTAGGCTTACGGTGTGATCCAGTGCAGATTTAGACAGAACAATGGCCTAGAGCACCAGAGCTGTGGACTGTTTTCTGCCTGGGCTTGTGTAGAATTGCACCAATAATTAAGTTGGAACATTTCCATCCCACCCCTCCTCAAAGTTTCTCAGGACAGTGCACAAGGCCCAGCTCCCCCAACATGTCAACCTCTCAGGAACCCTGCTGAACCCTGCTAAGCTGAGAGAGCGGCCTAGAGTTGCCCAGGGAGCTTCATAGAATCTTAGAATAATAGAGCTGGAAGCGGCCAAGAAGGCCATCAGGTCCAACCCCTGTTCCATGCAGGACTCGGGGTTAAACTTAGCTCTCAGATGGCTGTCCAGTTGCATCTTGAATGCCTCCAGCATGGGAGAGCCCACAACTAATCTAGATCATTGGCTCCAGAGTTGTACTGCTCTAACCATTAGGAAGTTCTTCCCAAGGTTCAGCCGGAATCTGTAACTTGAACCCGTTGCCCCATGTCCTGTATTCCAGGATGATCAAGCAAGAGATCCTGACCTTCCTCTTTGTGGCACTCATAGAGGGATACCCTGTCCCCCCTCAGACTTCTCTCATCCAGGCTGAACAGGCCCAGCTCTTTCCATCTCTCCCCAGAGGGCTCGCCTCCAGTCCCCGAATCATCCTTGCTGCCCTGCTCTGGGCCCTTTCCGACACAGTGCTCCGGATGAGGCCAAAGCTAGGTCCAGGTGAGGGGACCTAGCATTTCCCGTGATCTGGAAGCAACGTGTTTCTCAGTGCTTCCTGAAAGTGCCTCTGCCCTGTTTGAAGCCACGTTTATGGCTGACTGAGGGTTTCGAAGTGGGTCTCTCTTCCCTTAAGCAGACACCCTATTCCAGCTTTCCCAACATGGTGCCTTCCAGATGACTTGGACTGCCACTCTCATCATTCCCAGCCAGGTGGACGTACCTGGAGGACATCCTCCTCAAGAAGCGGCCACCCACTCCACTACCTTGCCTTTCAGAATGACTTCATGGTGTGTTTTTTGGCAGAGAATTCTGCTGCCTCCAAACCCAGCGTGAACGCTCTTCAATTTGACCTCTTGCTAATAGCTTTGCTTTCCTTTGTCTCTCTTTCCTCCGCGCCCAAGCAGGTTGGTGGCCAGTTACGTGACGTTTGTTGTTGGCGAAGTCCTTCTGCTGATCCTGACCGTTTGCTCGCTGGCTGCCATCTTCCCCCGGGTAAGCAGGGTTGTCTCCCACACCCCAACACACTGACAATTGTTCCGCAGCTGTCTGGAAGAACCCGGGTGCTCATGTGCTCTCCATCTGCACCAGCCGCATCCACTCAGTGGCGATATCCCAATTTCCAGAGCTGAGCCTTCCAGGATTTTTGTTTCTGAGAAAGTGGAATTCTTTGTCTAGATAAGAATGTCATATTGCATGCTCCTCATGAGATGGGACGGCCTGCCAGCCATGGATGATAGCAGTTGTGATGTCGTGGACTGGAGGCAGGATTGTACCAACACCACGGCCCATGTGTAGCTGGGTGCGATCTTGATTGTGGGTCTGTGTTGGGCACTGTGGCTTAACTTTCCCTGTTGCAGAAAGTTTCACACACATACACATTCGTTCTTGTATCAGGCCTTGTGATCGCTGAATCTGAACTGAGGGGCATTTTCTCAAAGCTGAAAACTGCAGGTGGAATGTGGGTTTGCTGAGGGAATGTATAAGCCCATCAGAAACGCACTAAAACACTTGAACCCAGTGGCATGTGAGTTTTGGTTGACACAAACTTTGTCCCTCTCCCCTCCCCTCCCCTCCCCGCC